CACAGATACTCTGACAGAAGTGTTCACTCACTTTGGTTTTCAAGTGAAGATACACAACAACCTGACTGCGGATAACATGAAAAAGGAAATAAATGATCTTGGCGAGATTAATTTTTCAAATCATGATGCCTTGGTGCGTAGTCACACACCTTCGGAGTTGTAGTACTTCATACATTTTATACATTTACACTTATTTTGAAATTTAGTTTGAAATAAGAGTTATCTGTGAAGATTGGCACCACAGCCATACAGAATACAAGCTGTAAGCTCGGAGGCTGTTACCATATACATAACCTACAAATACTTTACCATAAAACCATAACTTATAAATATTACATTTCAGGTTTTTTCAGCTATTGTTTCACATTTACTGTGCAGATATGCAGTATCAGTCTTCTCAAAAAGGTCTTAGATCAGCACATTTCTCAAAATGTCACCATGTAGTGCATGTCTCTGTGATTGTAACAGCAGCAACATGTCAGCAGTATTGTTAGTCTAAATAATAAAGCATATATTTATCTCTGATTTAAGGTGGTGTGCGTTCTTTCACATGGAGAAAAGGGGTGTGTCTTTGGCACTGATGGGGAAAGGGTGCTCCTGGAAGAGCTGACGGACCCCTTTACAAGTGGAAGAGCCTCAACCTTGGCAGGGAAGCCCAAACTCTTCTTCATTCAAGCCTGTCAGGGTGATGAATACCAGAAAGGATACCGTCCCTGCAGCAGAGAGGACGAGAACCAAAACAAAGGAGCACTGCAATCAGACGCCTCAGTCCCTGATGAGGCAGTGCTAGTGCCTGAACGAGCAGACTTTCTGATCGGCATGGCCACAGTAGAGGAGTGCAAGTGCTTTCGAAACACAGTCACGGGATCTATCTACATCCAGGAGCTGTGCAAGCAGCTGACAATAGCAGCAAGAAGGTGAGTTGAAGTGATTAGTTTCTTCATTGCAGACCATACTACTGTTATATGGGAAGGTCATAGTGCAGTAGTTTCCAACAAAGTAGATTTTTTAAATGTAATTTCTGTTACATACAGTTCGGTCCATAGAACTTTGGACAAAAACAAAAATGTAGTAGTTTTTCCTCTGTAGAGCGCCTCAATACATTTCCACACAATCATGATGTGATTGAAGTGAAGACCTTGAGCTTTAAGTTTTACAAAAAGCACAGTTTTAACTGTTTCAAAATTACTCATTTTTACACAAACCTCACCATTTTCTGAGGCTCGGAGTAATGAGGGAAGACAATCAAATGCATCAAATCTCTGTACATTTCTGTCTGCCTGCTTTTGGTGCTTTCAGACGTGGTGTTGGCATGAGTTGGGTGTTTTGTTAAAGCTTTCCAACTATCCAAAATGTGTCCTTTTTCATTCTCATGTTGTCCTTGCAGCCAGGCGATGGACGATATTCACACTGTCCTGACACGTGTGAACGGGGAGATCAGCGAAGGAGAGTATTCAACCCACAAACAAATGCCGGAGCCCAAATACACTCTCACCAAGAAGCTTGTCCTCAAATATATATGACCTGACTGTGACCAAATACAAAACTATACAATACAAGTCTACACAATTCTTGCATAGAAAAATGTTTTTCACCTCACAATCATACATTCTTTCTTGGGCTATAGTGCTATTTACCTAAATTAAATTTTTAATAGGAAAGACATTTTGTTTGTTTTTTTGTCATGAAATTTAAAAAAAAAACATTCAAGTGGTTTGTATTATTTAGTGTTCACAGAGAACGATTGACTCTTACACCACCTCTTACCTTTGAGCAGCTGCCGAAAAGAAACATTACAGGTGCAATACCTCTGCACCTCTGCCATGTCCACACTAATTCATTTTCATTTGAAAACACATCTTTTTCTCTCTGTTTTGGCCTTCCGTTTTTGGTGAAGGTCAACAGAGCTTTTTGAAAACGCTCTCCAAAGCAGATACATTTGAAAACGTTGTTTTTGCGTCGCAGTGTGGACAGCAAACCCGGAGCCTTTACGAAAACAATGACACATTTTAGTCATATGATCGAGTCATGTGACCAATTAAACAAAGATAGCGGAGGGGATTATACAGCAGTTGTTTAGTTTGCTCTCAACTTTGACAGCCCTATTAAAGTTTAATATCAGTCTGTACATGTTCCAGATGGCTTTTCTTTCAATTCTTTCATTCTCAATCGCTTTTGCAACTTTGTACTTTTGTGTTAATCGCACCACCACTCCTACCTTATTGTCAGTCTTGGTGCTTTTCCTCAACATTTTTCATTTTTAGACGAAAACACAGTTTTCAAATTTATCTGGATTAGTGTAGACGTAGCACAAAATGCAGCTTCAAACCGTGACAGAGATACTCCATATAGACAGTGTTGTACCTCCCTCGCGACCTCTGTACACAGTGACAACCACGGGTGAATGAGACAGGTTGTTTAAAGCACTTTTGAATGCTCGGAGAAGAAAAAAGCGTTATATATAAATCACTCATCATTTGAACCAAAAAATTAGAATTTGGATCCGTCGCTGCATAAGAAGTGGACTGATTTCATTGCAGTTCTTGTGTAATCTGGCATGCCTCAACCCATTCTTCTCATCTCCCTTCTTTAAGAATGGCTTCTTGACAGTCACCCTTCCACTAAGACTTTTTCTGATGAAGCTTCAATGAACAGAAGCTGGATAAACTGAAGGGCCAGATCTCTCAGGTCCTTTGTCAG